TATATATATATATATATATATATATATATATATATATATATATATATGCAGGCTGCAGCTCTAGGTCTATTTACCCAATTTGCTGCTGGGCAGCGGAGACGGGCTGAGCTGAGCCTTGTTAAGCAGAAGCAGATTCGCCTCGAGAATGTCTACAGACATCCGCTAACTTAAGTTCAAACGCTCTCATCGTTGCTGCCTCCATCACGCCAGCGCATGCGGGGCTTGACCGGAGGCTCCCGGCAGGTTTGCAGTTGCAGCGAATTGGGGCAGCAGCAGCATAGCAAAAGTTTCCGCGTTTGCTGCTGCCGCTCCCGCTGCTGCTGCTACTGCTGCAGCAGCCGCAGCAGCAACTAAAGCGCTCTATTTCCCAAGTGAAAAGATCGGGTGCCGCAGCGCCTCCTTTGGGTCTGGCCGTTTCCGCGGATCGATTTGCAAAATAAACCGCACGAAGTCAGCCAACAAGCGGTCCTGAGGCAGCACCAACTCCTGTCAAACAACAGCAGCAGCACCAGCAGCACCAGCAGCAATTAAGGCACCATTTCCAATGTTCCCATGCTGGGTTCCCAGCCAGCACACGAACTACCTGCTGCCCAGGTCGGCGGAAGTACACCCCGATGCTGCGTTGTATGTACAGTGAGCTTCAGCCCGGACGGCACACGAAGCAAATTGCATGAACTGGAGGTGTATCAACAGCAAAGCAGAAAACAACACGTTCGTAAGGGAAAGAATGCACGACAACCTAACACGCGCACGCTGGTTCCAAAGACAAACAACCATAAACCTTAAGCCCTGAACCCTAGCCGACCTCAAGAGGCACGCAATCCTTGACTCGATTGACACTTCCGGCAGATGCAGCTCCTTCTGGCCACTTCAGGCGGACCTCTCCCCGGCTGTCTGTCGTGAGGTATCCTTTCCCTGCTCCTTTTTGCGCCTTTTGCAGCATTTCCTTCGGAAACGGCTCCACAATGCGTTCCTGCATGCGCATGCAGAGAGCAATCCCGTTTACACATTAAGGTGTACAGACACCGCGAGACTGTTCTTTGCACACTTGTGCATGCAAAGACAGCTAAACGCATTCAGCTGTACATACACCCCAGAAGCGATGCCAACGAGCAACCCCACCTACCATCATAGCCAAGTGTTCAAGATGTTCATGCGTGCGAAACAATACGTCTCCGGTGTACAGCTCCATCAATATACACCCCAATGACCACATGTCGTTCGCCATGTCCCACCCAATGTCTGTACAGGCACCCGAAACCGTAGAAGGAACAACGGAAAAAGTCAGACCAACGGCAACACCAAGGAAGAACCTAAAATCATACAACAGCAGCAGCACTACTAGAAACAGCCAGAAGCAACGATGGATCTAGCAGAAGCCGCAGCTGCTCCTGCAGCAGCAACTGCTTCTGCAGCATCTGCTGCTGCAGCAATTCCTTGAGCAGCAGCTGCTTCTGCAGCACTGTATTCGCGCGTGATACGCGACGCAAACGAGCGGCGCTGCCCAGATCGGTAGCTGCTGCAGCTGCTGCGTAGAGTACAGAAAGACAGCAGCAGCAGTAGTAGTTAAAAGGTGCATTCCAATCCTTTCTTACCCAGAATAACTTCTGGGGCCCTGTATTGTCGGGTGTTAATGAGAGACGAGTGATAGTCTTCCTCAAACGTCGCACTTCCAAAATCAATGATTTTCACTTGCATGCTCGCAGGCCGGAGGTATGGAGTGGAGCAGTCGTCTTCCTCCGAGGGCTGTACGTACACCGCAAACAGAAGAGGGGGAGGGAATAATAACACGGCACCAGTAGTAGATGGAGATGCATCCATGGATTCGACGGGTCAATCACCGCAATGCAGCAACAGCAGCAGCAACGGCAGCAACAACAGCAGCAGCAGCAACAGCAGCAGCAGCAGCACCAGCAATCACCCAAACAAAGCCGGAAACCACACGCATACTTCATGCCCGAAGCGGAAATGCACGACACAGAAAAAGCCCGCGCAAGAACTTCCTTCCTTGAAGTGGAAACATAACTAGAATATAAAACAATGTTATATATATATATATATATTCCATATATTGCATTAATAAAGAGGAAGAACGACACGTGTGCACCTGCTGCTGCTGCGGAACACTGGCAGCAGTTGACTCACCCGGGGAGCGCGCGTCTCAAACATCTTCTCCCCTTGCAGCAAAATGTTTTCAGGCTGCAGCAACACCAAAGCCCTAAACCCTAAACCCTAAACCCTAATGCGTGCCGCCGCCCCTTCTCCATTAATGTTCACTGCTGCAGCTAAACATCCCGTAACCCCAAAAACCAAGCAGCCTGCAACAGAGCTCCCCTTGAGAGCCTAACAGAAGAATCCATGCATGCATGCATTCATGCATGCATGCACTTAGTGCTGCTGCTGCTGCTACTGCTGCTGCTACTGCTGCTTCTGGTGGTGTTGATGTTGGTGGTGGTTGCATGCAGAGGGAGGGGGAGAGGACCTTGAGGTCTGTGTGTGCGAGTTTGCAGTCTCGCATGAAGGCGAGGGTGTTAAGTCCTTGTCTAGCGACTTCAACGATATCTTGCAAGTAGAAGCCTCTATATTTGTTTTCTGCTAGAACATCATAAAGGCTCTTCCCTAGACATTCAAAAACCAAACACATATGCCGCTGGTGATACATAAATGCATCTAACAGACACACACAACCTGACTCCCTTCGGTAATCTTTCCGATTCAACTTCCGCAAAATATCCGCTTCAATTTCCGCTGCTGCGGTGTACCGAGCCACGTCCCGCACCACCTGAACCACCAAACCACAAACCCTAAACCCTAAACCCTAAACCCTAAATTGCCGTAAATCACCTTAAATAACCCCATACAACCCTAAACAACCCTAAATCACCCTATAAAGCCCTAAATAACCCTTTAAAACTCTAAATAGATAAGCCTAAATAATTGGAAATAACGCTAAAAAAACCCTAAATAAATAACCCTAAATAAATAACCCCAATAAATAAATAACCCTCAACAACAATAAATAACCCTAAATAACTCTAAATAAATAGCTTTAAACAAGCATAAATAGTGCTATATAAATAGCCCTAAATAAATAACCCTAAATAAATAACCTTAAATAAATAATCCTAAATAAATAACCCTAACGCCTAAAGCCCCCACGAAACAAACAAGCAGAGATAGGGATGGATAGATGAAGAATCAAACGGTGCCTGTTTTTTCTGCATTCTATCCTGCTGCTTGTGCGTCTGCTGTTGCTGCTGCCGCTGCTGCTGCTGCTGCTGCTGCTTGTGCTGCTGCTGGTGTTGTGCTTGATTTGCTGATGATATATAGCATTACCTTGATGGCGACTTGCGTCTGTAATAGAACATCTACGCAGCGCAGCACTCTACCGAATGTTCCGTCGCCTAACTTTGCAAGAACCCGATATCTGTTATTTAACCAAAGGCCTGGCTTCCAAGAGAAGTGTGTAATTTCATCTCTTGATGCCTCTTTATTTTGCTTCCGCAGACTCTTCCTTCCGCTCTGCTGCTGCTGCTGCTGCTGCTGCTGCTGAGGGGGAGGTGGAGACCGGCGAGGCTGCCGCTGCGAAGAATGAACGCGGCTCTTCTTGCTGCTGCTCCCTGCTGCTTCTCGTCTGCTGCGTCGCTCGTGGCCGTGCTTGCTGCTATTTTGTTTTGCTGCTGATGTAGCAGCAGCAGCAAGCGGTCGCCCGTTGGTGGGGCTGTAGTGGCGGGCCCTGTACGGACTGCTGTGCTTCCGAGAACTCCTCCTTCCTGCTGCTGTTGCTGCTGCTGCTGCTGCTCCCCTGTGCCTATCTCCGCCAAGGCGGCGACTCTCCACGCTGCTGCTGTTGCTGCTGCGCCACTTGCTGCTGCTGCTGCGGCTTCTGCTGCAGCTCATGCGACGCCGGGCGTCCTTCTGATACCATTTGCTAGAGTAATGCCGCCTCTTGTTGTAATCTTCACCTGCAGCAGCAGCAGCAACAGCAGCAGCAGCGACACCAGCAACACAAGAAACTCAGCATACACCAGCAGCAACATCGGCAACAGGCGACAACCAAACAAACACCACCAGCAACACGAAACATACGCCAACTCCAGCAGCAGCACATGCAACTGCAGCAGCAACAGCTACAACAGCAGCAGCAGCAACAGCTATAACAGCAGCAGCAGCAGCAATAGGTACAGCAATACTAGCGACAGCTACAGCACCTGCAGCAGCAGCAGTAACTACTATAACAGCAGAAGAACAACAACAGCAGCAGCAGCGACAACAACAGCAACAGCAGCAGCGGCAACAGCAACAGCAGCGGCGGCAGCAGAGACAGCACCGACAGCACCAGCGACAACAGAAACGGCAGTAGCAGCAGCAGCAGCGACAGCAACAACAGCATCAGCGGCTAACCAGAGGCGCCTGGTGGTTTTCTTGATTTGGCTGGAGGTAAGCGAGAATGAGGAGAAGGAGAAGGTCTTTGAGCTCTGCTGCTGCAGCACCTCGCGCTTCGCCCGCCACCGTGCATCCTGCTGCTGTCTCTGTCTCTATCTCTATCTCTGTCTCTGTCTCTGGGCTTGTCGCACCCGTCTCTCTCCCTCTGCCTGCCGCTGCGAGCCCCTTCAGTTTTGCTGCTTCTGTCTTTGTCTCTGTCTCTGTCTCTGTCTCTGTCTCTGTCTCTGTCTCTGTCTCTGCTGCTGCGGTATGAGGAGAGTGCATATCCGCCTGTCTCTGCTGAACTCCTTCTGCTGCTGCGGTGAGAACCTGCGGGCTGCAGCAGCCGCATCTGCTGCTGCTGCTGAAGAGGCTGGCGGTGGTTGTGCCGCCTGCTGCTATCTTCATCTCTGTCTCTGTCTCTGTCTCTGTCTCTTTCTCTGTCTCTTTCTCTGTCTCTTTCTGGTTTGCTGCTGCCGCCTGCATGTCGTTTGATGCTGCGCCGCCTACTGCCTTGGGATCCGATCCCAGACCGCTGCCCCACAGGCGAACGCAGCTTGCTGCTGTTGCTGCTGTTGCTGCTTCTGCTGCGGTGTCTGCACAGCTGCGCATCTCGAGAACGACTGCGACTGCGCCGGCCGGGGGCCCCGCCGGAGCTGCTCCGGCTCATTGCTGCTCCCCGTGCTGCTGCTGCTGCTGCTGCTGCTGCAGCTGCTGCTACTGCACCTTCCCCTCCTCCTCCTCGCACTGCTCCTGATGCTGCAGGTCCTGCTGCTGCTTTGCTGCTGCAGTTAACGCTACAACTGCTCCTCTTCGCGGAATACAAATGACTGGGCAGCAGCAGCAGCTGCTGCTGCCGCTACTGCTGCTGCCGCTGCTGCTGCAAGAAAATGCTGACAGCAATGCTGATTCTGTCGACTTGCTGCTCTATGGAGGACGAGAAGTCAGTGAACGGAGCTATTTCTTTCCCACAGATGCTGCTGCTGCTGCGGCTGCTGCTGCTGCTGCGGCTGCTGCTGCTGCTGTAGCTGTTGCTGCTG